TGTATCATGATCCAAAATGATCGCGGATGGGATTCCGTGGAGGCGAACGATGGTTGAAATGAAGAGGCGGGCTGTTTCTTCGGCTGAGATACTTTTCTTGCAGGCGGCGAAGTGGGCCATCTTTGTCAGCTTATCGACGACAACAAATTTTGCACCATCACATCCGTCCTTGGCCGGTAATCCCGTGACGAAGTCCATCGTCACCTGCTGCCACGCGCGCTCAGGCGGCGAGATTGGCTGAAACTGTCCAGCTGGCTTTTGCTTCGATGATTTCATGGTTTGGCAGGTTCTGCACGAAACCACATGCCGTTGCATGTCCCCTTAAATGTCGGGCCAGGAATAATATATGGTCAGCTGCTGCTGTGTTTTCTCCACTCCGAAATGTCCTGAAATGGTACTGTCATGGGCTTCCTTTAATAGTAACTCCCGTAATAAACTGTACTTAAGTACCCAGATGCGGTCAGTCCCTGTCTTCATGTAATAGACTCCCTTAGCCGTTGCGAGCTGTTCGTACGCACCTGACGTAAAGAATCTGTCTGTCTGGTACCTGTGGGTAAATAGGCCTATTAATAGGGAGGATGTTTGGGCGAGGATGATGGAGTTGAGATGGGCGGATGGGCGAGAAAAGGGGTCTGCAACATTCGATGCCCCCTTTTTGTAGGTTGACCGTATAGTGGAAGTTGGACTCCATGAAATCCAACCACCTGATCTGTCGTGGGTTGAGTAGTGGCTGCGCGCGGATGTAGAAAGGCTTCGGTGATCTGTCTATACTGTCACGTCTGCGCCTCTCAGGTAGCACCGCCACACCTTGAAGGCGTGCATGATCGTGAGCATCTCCTTGTCGTGTATCAGATAATTTTGCTCGGGCGGGTGCAGCTTTCGTGACCCATACGCGATTGGTTGTAGGCCTTCGCCGCAATCCAGTAATAGTTACTCCGATGGCGATGTAACAAGCTTCTGTGATTACTTCGAATGGATGGTGAGGATCAGCGATGCGAAGGCCAGGGGCTGAGCATAGGAAAAAAAATTAGCGTAGAGAAGGCAGCTTGCTCTTTCTCCCCCCACCTATACTTAGTCCCTTTCCGCAGTAGGTGAGTTAACGATGCAATTACCCCCGCCATATTTGGGAAAAATCTCTGAACATTATTGACGAACCCTAAAAAACTTTGCAGCTCCTGCAACTTTTTAGGCGGTAGCCAGACTTACACTATCTCAATTTTGCGCGGGTCTACTTCGACGCCCTTAGTAGAAATAACGTGTATTAGAAATTCTAGGTAGTCTTGTAAAAACTCGCACTTAGACCCCTTCGCGAGCAACCGATGAACCTGCAGTAGCGTGAAAAATGCTCCGAGGCCCTTTAACTGCTGCTCTCGAGTCTCGCTGTAGATCAGTATATCGTCTAGGTAGACTATAACACACTTATCTACGAGCGAACTGAAGATCTGGTTCATGGTCATCTGAAAAGTTGCCAGGGCGTTCGTCAAACCGAAGGGCATAATTACATACTCAAAACTCCCGTACCTAGTACAAAATGCAGTCTCGTGACAATCAGCTACAATTACGTGAATCTGATTGTAACCCCCTCGTAAATCTATTTTCGAGAAGAAGCGAGCTTTGCGAAGTTGGTCGATCAGTTCGTTGGCGCGCGGGATGGGGTAACGCGACTTGATAGTCACCATGTTTAGTGCTCTATAGTCAGTGCACATTCAGTACCTGCCGTCTTTCTTCGGGGTGAACAGTATGGGGGCGGCAAATGGCAAGGAGCTCGGGCGGAAGAATTTTTTTCTCCAGTAAGTAATCTAACTGCTTTCGTAATTCCTCTAACTCCGTCTGTGTTAATCAAAATTGTCGCTGTACTGTGGGTTGTGTCCCTAGTTCTAATTCGATTCGATGGTCGAAGGGTCGTTCCGGCGATAATCCCTCGAGCAGGTCGTCTGGAGATATCTACGGAAATCTGCGAATTAGTTGCGCGAGATCGGCCGGCACTACTGCTGTCAGCTTCTCTAAATCGAACGGCTGCGATGCAACGTCGACGGCGCGAACGACTACAACAAAGACTTCCGCGCCCCGTGCAACCGCCCGTTTGATCGCCACGGAGTTCACACGCGTCACTTTCCCTATGGTCCCCTTCGTCCATTCAAGTAACGTCACACTGCGGCCGTTGATTTTGACGAAACAACTGCCGGTCGTCCAGTCAATTTTCGGATTGAACCGTCGTAGCCAGTCACATTCCTGCAACATGTCGAAACCGTTGAATCTAGTTGCCACCATCCCCATCGCAATATTGAATTCAGCTCCGCATCATACCCTAATCTTGCCCACCCTGTCTTTTATTGCTAGTGGGTTCTCATCGACTAGTCGGGCGTCCATCTCCAGAAGACACCTATCTAAGGGTAACTTCATTTTTTTGGCCGTGGCGAGGTTGATTAGGCGGTGGCTGGCTCCCCCGTCCACGAAGATATTTTTTTTCCCCGCCTTGAACATTACCTTCTAAATAAATGGGGTAATCCGCCGCTACACCCTCCTTATTCAGCCGAGTTTGGTCGATTGCGTGGATCGGTACCAGTACTCGATGAGAGGGTCATAGGTTACGGGCGAGCAGGTTCCATCAGTAATAGGCTCGTTAACTACTAATACTAAACATTTCCTTGGTCGCTGGAACTCCCCTGCCCCTGATTCCGCTTCTTTCGCTCCTCTGGGCATTCTGACTTGCGGTGTCCCAGCCTGTTACATACGAAACATCGACCCTTGAAGGTTGTAACAGCTAAGTTCGATATTGGAACAGCGTGTATAGTGGCATACTCGATTGGTTCCTGAGTGCGACTTGCGTCATATTAACCTGCCCTTGGCTTGAAGAACGAATGCAACCGCTCTGCAACCCTCTGCGCCTCCATCAAATCCGTAAATTTCCTTATCTTTATTTCCCTGCGCAGATCCCGTCGAAGTCCCCCGATGTATCTGTCGGTCTTCTTCGTTAGTCTAAATGTAGCCGACCTGGTCGCATAAATTCATGAAGTTGCTGGTGTAGTCCTGCACCGATCCGGATTGGCGCCACGTGCGAAGGCAGTCGCGCGCTTGACTGCTTGCGTTGACGTGTTCGAAGCAGCGACAAATTCCCATGCACCACGATTGCCACGTTTTGTATTCGTCCACCTCGCAATAACTTCCTGCCCAGTGATTCGTCGTGCAAAAATGCCCGATCACGCACGACGTCGTATCCGACTCCTTCGACTGAATTGTCTTTTGCCACCAAACCATAGCCGATCTACGTAGAAGTGACACCGCTTATCGGATTTTCTGCGCGCCGTCGCTGATGAGGTTGTAGTCGTAAAAAATATTAAGGTGAAAATCCATCCACTGATGGACAAGCTGCCACGCTGGCTCGGGTCGAACGTGGTTGGCCTCTGCGTCTTGAGAATTCCCGGCGCCATGTTGATGTTGACGGTTTACAGGTCAGTTGGAGAGGTAATTGGGGGCGGCAGATTCACGTTCGTCCTTTTGCCGATTTCCGCTCGTCCAATAGCCGGTGACGGGTTGTTTGTCAAACCCTCGGGCGAAGCCGCATGTGGTCACTGATTGTCGCCAGGTATTTCGGAACGCTGCAAAGTTAGTTGCTCCTATTGTTATTGATTTGTCGTTGGTGCGATTGTGTCGTGTCGTATTTGAGGCAGTCGGCTCCGAAGTGCAGATATCTCAGATGCAGCTTGGGCTGTTTCAAATCCTGCTAGTACAACTCGTGAGTAAGATGGACTTCTTCAAGTGATGCCGCCCTTTCTTCATGAGTCATGGCGGTAGACGCCGACGGATCCACATCGCGGAAGTTTTTGGCGGCTTTCGGTACTCTGGCACTGCGAACACTGTCGTGACTGTAGGTAAGTATCAGGGAATATTACCAGGACAGCAGATATGCAGTAAGCACATGGCGTCAGCCTCCCTAAGTGTCGGTATTGCAGCGGAACTAGAGCGCAAGGCTGATGATCGTTGGCTCTGATACCATGTGTAATGAAGCGCGCAGAGCGTGCGTCGAAGGATTGATAAACGAGGAAAACAATACAATTAAGGCCACATCAAAACAGCAGGGAGCATGGATATAGCTAGCATGGAGCATACAGTCGTGGCTCGGCAGAGCTAAGACGTGTGGTTCGTAAATTGGCACGATGTGCCATGATCTAGGCATGCATCAGAAAGGCGGGCAACAATGCATGCGGCTCGTCAGGAGGCCACATTTGGGACCGCAATTTTAATTTCGTGGCAGAGCTGCGTGGCAACCCCGTTATAGCATTGTACACCTTCCTGACTAGAACCCGTGATAAGGAAATACCATTTCCTTTTAGTACCTAAATGATAGATCTTAGTTGTGATGTTCTGTATCCTTCTTATCAAAGCTGAACTCGTTACGATCGCCCGGTAAGGTCGCCAGCCTAGGTTGGGGCTCCGTGATGAGGCGCTTCGGCAAGCGCTTCGCCCGCGACGTGGGTACGAAGGATGGTAACCTCCTCGCCTAATCAACCTCGGGGTCTCTACTCACCACTTCGCATTCCGTCGTCCACGCGGAGGCTGCGATTCCGTGGCCGATGCGACGCTTCCCCTAACTACCACAAAATCGCCTGCGCCTGTACGACCAGCCCCTCTCGCCTGGCCAATCAGAGTCAGGCCCCCAACCAAGTTTGCGACAAACGAGCGAACTCCGTCCCCGTCGCCAGCGCAGGTTCACCGACGCTACGTGCTGTCGCCTTGGGGAAAGTGGGTTCCCCTTCCTAACCCGACCAACTGTCAGGTTAGGCAGAGAGGTCAAGTCCGGCGGACAGCAGAGGGGCGCCGCCGGGCTTGACTGCTGCGGGAGGCCCAACTGACGGATGGGGGTGTGCTGGGCTGGGCGCAGGTGAAGGGCGGAATTCGGCGCATGCACTCCGCGCAACTGCTCCGCCTGCGCGCTGCTTGCGGGTGGCCCCATGTTGGGGCCAACAAAACAGCCATGGCGCTCCAACCACCCTAAGTTGCTCTCATCTCTAGCATGCTTAGAGTAACTAGCCTCCGTGTTCTCAGCTTACAGTTCTAGTTCACTGCACCTCGAAAGGCATCTCCTAATCAAGCCAATCGCCATGGCCGACAGAAGTAGTAGTTCTAGTCAAATGGCACTGGATTCGCGATTGATTACCGCGCACGGCGCCACGGAACATTCAGCGGAGCCCGCGTTGCTCCCCACCACGTCCGCCTTCTTCTCGTCCAACAAATCCGCCGACTCCTCCTCGTCCCCGTCCGCCTCCTCGTACTCCTCCTCGCACGGCAGCAGCGCCAAGGCCTATCAAGACGTCCCTATCTACCGCGCCACGGACGCATCGCCACAGCCCGAAGCGCCCTCTCCGTCGTTTAGTCCGTTTCGGTCGGTCCCCTACAGCGACCGCTTTATTCCCAGCCGCTCCTCGTCGCTCGCCTTCGCCTTCCCGCTCCTCGACCGGCCCGGCGACGTCGCGCAAGCGTCGCACGGGTTCGGCGCGGGGCCCGAGGGGCGGGAGGACAGCGCGGCGGCGTACTCGCTGCTGCTCAAGGCGCAGCTGCTCGGCGCGCAGCTCTCCGCGCCCCCCGCGCCTGGATCGAGTTCCGCGCAAGAATCGGAGTGCGTTCTCGGTAGACCATGCCGCGTCCCCCTACTTTCCGCCGCCACCTCCCCCTACTCCTCGTCCGCCTCCCCTCTCGCCCCCAAGAATCTCTTCCGCTATATCAACGGCGCGAGCAGCGCAGGCGGCGCCGCGGATCACGGCGGGGGATGCGGGTTGGAGTCGCCGCTGTCGCTGTCGCCCATCGGGCTGGACGCCGCGTTGTGCGGGCTGCCGTTCAGCCCCAAGAAGGCGCCGCGAAAGATCGCGAGGTCGCCGTTCAAGGTGCGCCTCGCCGAGTTTCGAAGATCTCTCGCTCGTGATCCCGCCCGCGTCACGTGCACATTCGAGCGATTGATCGCCTTAGCGGTTGCGCGTTCGCCCCTATACTTGCTTGTGTCGCTTGCCAGTTGCGTACTGCCCGCAGCCCTACAAACGCAGGCTTAACGGCCCTCGCGAACACCCTCCGCAACGCGCTTTGGTTCCGCCCGTCCCGAAGTCCCGCGCACGTCCTTCGTGTTGCATCCTTCTCCACTTTCTTGTGCTTCCGCTCCCCACGACTGGCTCCCCTTCCCCCTCCGCCCACCCTCCTCGTCCACCCCGCCGCGCTCACCCTCCTTGTCCACCTACCTCCCACCCCCCCTCGTTCCCCCCTTCCCGCCACTCTTCCCCCTTCTTCCCCCCTGTAATAGCGCCCGCCCTGCAGGACGGCTTTTACCTGAACCTCGTCGACTGGTTGGCATAAAATCAAATCCCCCCCCCCCCTCCTCCCCCCCCTTTCCCCTCCCCCTGCTTCCCCCCATTCTCCCCCCTCCCCCTCCCAATAGGTGTTAGACGCCCCAGCCCTCTTAAGGCGACTGGACCCCCCTTATCCTGCTCCTCCCCACACTTCTTTTCCGCCCTCTGCCCCCCTCTCCCCCCCTCTCCCACCCCTCTACCCGCAGGTGCTGGACGCGCCCGCCCTACAAGACGACTTCTATCTGAACCTCGTCGACTGGTCGTCCACCAACGTGCTCGCCGTGGGCCTCGGCTCCTGCGTCTACCTCTGGAGCGCCGCCAGCAGCAAGGTAGCAAAAAGTCAAGGGAACGATTTCAGTGGCCTTATTATGCGAGGTATTCCTGCAGGGCGGCATATCCCTGTGGAAAGTGGTCGGAAGTAGGAGCGCCGCCGACAGCAAGGTGATTGGGAGCGCAGCCGAGAGTGCGCTGGTTAGAGTCGATGCCGGTGGCAGGTCGTTAGCTGCGAGGCCAGTAGTCGCCTATGGGCGTCACGAGGTTGCTTCTATCTAGGGAGCGGTGAGTAAGGGCGAGCGGAAGGACGGAGGCGAGCGGAAGGACGGAGGCGAGCGGAAGGGCGGAGGCGAGCGGAAGGGTGTGCAACCGCAGCAGTGCGGTTCATGGGACAAGAGGCAGGCGGGGAGAAGGCTGAAGTCTGTACGTCCAGCAGCTGACCCTCACAGCTGACCCTCACAGCTGACCCTCACAGCTGACTGTGCCGTTGACTGACGCGCGCACTTGCCGTCAATCCGCGCATGGACCCCCGCTTGTGACAGGCCTGTAGGCAGGTCGCGATCACAGTTCGAGCATGCTTCCCATCGCCGTCGCCATCGCCGTCGCCGTCGCCGTCGCCATCGCCCCACGTCTCTGTACCCCTCCCGCACCCCTCTCCCCCGCCCTCTCCCCCGCCCTCTCCCCCGCCCTCTCCCCCGCCCTCTTCCTCCCCCCCCCTGCCGCAGGTGACCAAGCTGGTGGACGTGGGCCCCAACGACGCCGTGTGCTCCGTGAGCTGGACGCAGCGAGGCACGCTGCTGGCCGTCGGCACCAACAACGGCCACGTGCAGGTGCGTGGCGGGCAGCAATAGATTTTTTGGGCAATTTCAACGGGAAGGTGCAGGCGTGTGATGGGCAGCAATGACGGGCAGGTGAAGGTGTGTTTACGGGCAGGTGGGCAGGTAGCGGTATGGGCGTTCCATGGCCTCCCGATGTGGGCGGGTATGGCCATTCACCCTCTTTCGCTCCACCGCCGTCCGCCCTCCTCCCATCCCACTTCCACCCTCCCACCGCCCATCTTGCCGCGCCTTTCCTTGTGTTTTCCGCGCGTCTCTCAACCCTCCCTCAAACACAAGGGGCAGGGGGTGCGGTCGCATGGGCGGGCATTGAGTGCGCGTGGGTGCGGTGGCATGGGCGGGCGTCGTGATGGCGCCGGGCAGCATAGACCGCAGCGTGCCGCAGCGGGGCTGTAGTGTGTGCTGCTCAATACGCTCAACTCTCCCTCCACTCGCACCAGCAGTGGGACGTGGTAAAGAGGCGTCGAGTGCGGTCGACAGGAGGCCACAGGGTGCGAGTGGGCGCAATGGCGTGGGCTGTTGACGTGCGGGCGACGGGCAGCAGAGTCAAGTGTCTGTTCCCTTCACCCGGTCGCTTAGCAGGTGTGGGACGTGGTGAAGGGGCGGCGTGTGCGGGCCATGGGGAGCCATGGCGTGGGCAGCATTGGCCACAGCGTGGTGTGGGGGGACTGCTGAGAGTGCCGCTTAGCCCGCAATCCGCTGTGTCTCCCTTGTTCCAACCCTCCCTCCACTCATGCCAGGTGTGGGACGTGGTGAAGGGGCGTCGAGTGCGGTCGATGGGCGGCCACAGGGTGCGAGTGGGCGCCATGGCGTGGGCAGCCAACATGTTGGCGACGGGCAGCAGGGACCGCAGTGTGCTGCAGCGGGACGTGCGCTCGCCCATGGACTTCGTGTCGCGGCTCACGGCGCACCGCAGCGAGGTGTGCGGGCTGAAATGGTCGCCGGACGACAGGGAGCTGGCGTCGGGAGGCAACGACAACCAGGTGAGCGCGTGTGGGGTGGCGATGAAAGCAGGTGGGGAGGGCGGGGGGAGTAGGGAATGGGGATGGGCAACCACCACCATCGCACGCCCTGAGACGGCGCTCGACTGGAGTGGAGGGCGGGGATATTAGGCAATGGGGATTCCTACTCTTCCTTGAGAGTCCTCGAGGTGGCGTTTGAGTCGGCTCATGAACGAGGTGTGGAGGGGGGGGGTAGTAGGGAATGTGGATGGGCATCCACCATCCTCCTGTGGATGGGCATCCACCATCCTACTGTGGATGGGCATCCACCATCCTACTGTGGATGGGCATCCACCATCCTCCTGTGGATGGGCATCCACCATCCTCCTGTGGATGGGCATCCACCATCCTCCTGTGGATGGGCATCCACCATCCTCCTGTGGATGGGCATCCACCATCCTCCTGTGGATGGGCATCCACCATCCTCCTGTGGATGGGCATCCACCATCCTCCTGTGGATGGGCATCCACCATCCTCCTGTGGATGGGCATCCACCATCCTCCTGTGGATGGGCATCCACCATCCTTGCACTTGCCGCAGTTCCTCCTTCCTCCTGTGTTTGATCTCCACTCTCTATTCTCTTCTCTCCCCTCTCCCCTCCCTCCCTGTCCCTCCCTCCTCCCTCCCTGTCCCTCCCTCCCCCTTCAGTTACTACTGTGGAGCATATTGACATCGCAGCAGCCAGTGGTGCGTTTCTTTCAGCACCAGGCGTCAGTCAAGGCGATCGCGTGGCTGCTCGTCCCTCGCTTCCTAACGCTTCCCCACTCTCCCCTCTGTCCTTGCGTCCTCCCTCGCCCCTACAGCTGTTGATCTGGAGCGTGCTGACCTCACAGCAGCCGGTGGTGCGCTTCTCCCAGCACCAAGCAGCAGTGAAGGCCATCGCCTGGTCGCCCCACCAGCACGGGCTGCTGGCGTCAGGAGGCGGCACGGCGGACCGCTGCATTCGCTTCTGGAACACAGCCACCGGCACACCGCTGTCGTGGGTGGACACTGGCAGTCAGGTGAGGCGGCACGGACGCCGGAGTGCGGATGATATGGGCATGTAGGCTGCCATCAGGGGGGGGTGGTGCCGGCCGCTGCATTCGCTTCTGGAACACAGCCACAGGCACGCTGCTGTCGTGGGTGGACACTGGCAGTCAGATATGTGGTAGCACGGGCTGTTCAGTGAGATGGCCATGTTGCGAGACTGGCACACGCTTCCTGCAATGCTGCCACGCAGCTGTCTGTCGCTGCAGTACCCTGCATTGCCCCTCCTTCCTTTCTCCCCCTACCCTTCACTCATCTGTGTGCCATCCTCAACAGCCCCTCCCTCTGTGCCTGGCGACATGGATGCATGCTGTGCGGGATGCATGTATGCATGTGTATGTGTGTGTGTATGTGTTGGCGGATGCATGTATGTATATGCTCTTCTGTGCGTGTATGCATTGGTGGATCCATGCATGCATGCCCACTTGTGTGCATGTGTGCATGCGCACGTCTTTGCTTGGGTGTGTGGGCATGTGTCCACGTATGCATGTATGCATGCATGCGTGTCTCTATCAATGCATGCATGCATGCATGCGAGCAGGTGTGCAATCTGCTGTGGTCGCGCAATGCCAACGAGTTGGCCAGCACGCACGGCTACTCGCAGAACCAAGTCGTTGTCTGGAAATACCCCTCCATGGCTAAGGTAGTTACCCTCCATGGCTAAGGAAGTTACCCTCCGTGGCTAGGATAATTGCCCCCCATTGCTAGGGTAATTACCTCTGTGTAGGGATAAAATATCTTCCATTAAAATTTTTGAATGCCCATCCAACTCCTAGAGTGTGCTCAAGTTGTGACATCTTTGCCTCCTGTATTCTTTCTGTCGTTTTCTCCCAGCTGGCCACCCTAACAGGCCACACCATGCGGGTGCTCTTCCTCGCCGTGTCTCCGGACGGCCAGGTGCGTCTTTTAGGGGACTCACACTTTTGGCCGCCTCTCTCTTTCGGCCTTTTCTCACTTTTAGCGGCCTCGCACTTTCCTGTGTGTTACCCCCTTACAATCACAGCATTGTTCTCCTGACTCCTCACGCCAAACCTCCTTACTATCACAGACCATCGTCACGGGAGCAGGCGATGAAACCCTTCGATTCTGGAACGTCTTTCCGGGACCCAAGTCGCAGGTAACGAAAACTCTCAGTTGGGGATGATCAATTTGAGGCACAATCATTTAAGACTCACGTCTTGACCAGCCAGCTTATGCATGCAGCCCTCCCCCTCTGCTGCCCTTATCTTGCCTCTCTCCCTCATCCCCCCTCTGCTGCCCGCTATCCATTCTCTCTGCCCCTCTCAGGGCCCTCCAAGCTCGTCAATGCTGGCATCGGAGCGCAGCCACATCCGCTGATGCCTGCGCCTAGCAGCTGTGTGCGATGACCTGCATTCCTTGTTCCGACGACACCGGCGTGGATTTGCTCTTGCCACGTGCGTGCGAGTCAACCTTGGTGCGCGGCATCAGCTCTCGAAGGGGCCATGCCAGCTCTTGAAAGGACGCCTGGGAGCAGCAATGTGGTCAGGAAGAGGGGAATTGGAGTGGCCTTGGAGTGGCCTTGGACCAAAGGAAGAAGGAAGATGAGGGGGAACGATCCTGCTTCTGCTTCTTGCTGTTGCCGCTGTTGCAGCGTTAGTGGTAGTGGAATAGATGGCGGTGAGAATCGGTGCGGTGCACGCCTTGCGCCATCTGTGGCATGCTGCATGCACTAGTAGCCTCTGCTCCTGGGCCGCAATCCAAGCCAGTGCTGATGGCACTGCTGTGTGCACGTGCGTGTATATTGTGCTGTGCTTGATGCTGTACTACTGGATCCAAGAGATTTGCCGCCCTATTTTTGGGAGTGGATGGCGATGTCTATCTTATTCAATCCCAGTTTTCTAACTCGGTGCAGAGAAATTAATGGAAAACTATGCAAGTGAGGTTCATGCTAAGCATGAGGAAGTAGACATTGCAACAGTACTCATAATTGTGAGCACAGGTCAACACATGGTTTGTGATGATGTTAGGCCATACAACTGCCATGCAACGCAACTCTTTAATTCTTGGGGTTATTTCCCCTTGTTAGGAGAGCAAGAATCCTAAATCCCAAGCAGGCAAATTAGGCCTGGAACATGCAAAAAATCCTGGCCCCTGGACGCTACATGGGTGAACTAGCTGGATAACGATCAGTCTTCGAATCCACCACATAAAAATGGATTAATATATTGAGATACATGGACGCCTAGATTGAAGCTCATGGCTTGATCGTAAATAGGGGCTGCATGCAGCACGAATGACATGGGTTAAAGAGAAACGAGGGGGGGGGGGGGCGTGGGGGGGTTAAGTGTGGGATACGAAGACACGAGAGACACGAGTGTCATTGCAGATACATGGTTCAATGCATGCTGAATGGGGCGCCGCCGCATGAAAAGGAGAAAGGAAGGCCCGGGTTACAGCGGGCCAAAAGGGCGGCGACAAACCTGGGGCAAGAGACTGCATCCTGCACCTTGCACCTTGCACCTTGCACCTTGAACCTTGCACCTTGCACCTTGAACCTTGCACCTTGCACCGTGCACCTTGCACCGTGCACCGTGCACCGTGCACCTTGCACCGTGCACCGTGCACCTTGCACCTTGCACCGTGCACCGTGCACCTTGCACCGTGCACCGTGCACCTTGCACCTTGCACCTTGCACCGTGCACCGTGCACCGTGCACCGTGCACCGTGCACCGTGCGCCGTGCACCTTGCACCGTGCACCGTGCACCGTGCACCGTGCACCGTGCACCGTGCATGGAGTGAAGGGAAGAAACGGGGGCATGGGGCCTTACCGCGCCGACAGCCACAGGTTTGCCGTCCTCGGCGAGAATGGCCACCACCGTGCCCGATTGGTCCGCCTGCACAGGGGCAAACCGGGTTGGGCGCTCAGCTCCTGAAGCATGAGATTGAGAACAAGCGCGCCAAGCCCTAACTGCTGAACAGCAACAGAAAAGTGAATCACTCAGTCCAGCAGGTTCTCCACCGCCCCTCGGCATCCATTCACGCACCTCGATCTCGTTCATGAGCTTCATTGCCTCGACGATGCACACCACCTGCCCCTTGGTCACCGTGTCGCCAACCTGCCATGCCATGGCATCATGCCATGCCACGCCATACCATGCCATGTCACGCCATACCATGCCAGGCCATACCACGCCATGCCATCCCATATCATCGTACATCATGCCATGCCCAGCACCCACGCATCAGCTCATCACCCGGCACGGGCCGCATGGTCACCAGCACGCAAACGGACCAGGTGGGAATTGCAGGAGAGAATTTGAGTCGACTCCGAAACTAGCAAAAGGACCACGACGGCATTCCAGGAAATAATTGCAGGGAAGCGGAGAAACGGAGGGGTGATGGAGTGGAGAGAGGTTGTGGCAGTGGAGATGGTGCAGGAATAGAAAAGGGCAGAGAGGAGGTGGGGAGGGAGGAGGGGGGAGAGAGGAGGTGGGAGAGAGGAGGTGGGAGAGAGGAGGTGGGGAGGGAGGAGGTGGGCAGAGAGGAGGTGGGCAGAGAGGAGGTGGGGAGGGAGGAGGTGGGCAGAGAGGAGGTGGGGAGGGAGGAGGTGGGGAGGGAGGAGGTGGGGAGGGAGGAGGTGGGGAGGGAGGAGGTGGGGAGGGAGGAGGTGGGGAGGGAGGAGGTGGGGAGAGAGGAGGGAATCAGGCAGGGCAGCCCCATGCCCTCCTCACCTCTCTCCTGCCGCCCTCCTTACAGCACTCCCCCACCTCCCACGTCCACTTCATTCCTCGATCATGTCCCCTGCCTTCCTTCCCATACCCCCCCTCCCACCTTTCGACCCATATCATACCACAGCCCCCCCTCCCCCCCACAATCCATACCATACCTCTGCCCATTGTTTCATGGCGCATCTATGTTGACAAAAACGCTTTTGCTAGTTTGCGTTTTTGAGTTTAAACGCAATCGTTTAAACGCAAAACGCAAAAACAAGTCAAAACGCTCGAACGCACCTCAAAAAGTTTTCGGGCTGCCCGGAACTGAAAATCGAAAACTTTGTGACTGGGCTAGGGTTTCTGGAAACGCGATTCTGAAAGTCGCGTTTTCTGCGGGGTCGAATTTTGACCCCCGGGCTTCAGCCTGGCGAAAAATTTGCAGGAAACTAGCGAAATCGCTACATGGCGACTGCAAGCAGACGTTCGCCATGTCGCGAAATCCAACCCAACTCCCTCCCTTTCACCGCACTTAACTCCCCCCCGTCTACAACATCCAACCTTTTCTCACAAATGCTCCACTCTCCCTCCCGCACCTCCCTCCCTGTTTTGCGACAAGAACTATAACAGCGCACGCCAGCTCACGCAATTTCCGCATAGCATTTCATACGCTAAACACGTTTAGAGCACCATAGCCTCGAGTCGCGCTGAAGCCGAGCCGGTAGTCCCCCCCTCCGCCATTCCCCCCCTCCCCCCCTCCCCCCTCTTTCCCCTGCCCGGCCAAAAATATTGGCCTGCCCGGGCATGCGTTTTCCGAGCGTATTTAAAGCCTAGAATCCTGCGTTTTGCGCCTTGAACGCAAGCGTTCAGAACGAAACGCAAAAACGCGGAAACGCGTTTATGCCAACATAGTGGCGCATCATTACTGTCCGCCCCACTCTCACACTCTTGAACAGTGCGTAACACACGTGAAGGAGAACGGAAGCCACCTGAATGAAACGACTTACTCACCTTGAGGAAGGCGGGTTCGCCGGGGGCGGGGGAGGAGTAGAAGGTCCCCGCCATGGGGGAAACCATGGGCGGAAGGGTCACGGGCGGGGGGGGCGCAGGGGCAGCGGGCGCAGCAGCGGGCTTGCTAGCAGCAGGGGCGGGAGCGGCGGCGGCGGGAGGGGGCGGGGCTTCAGCGTAGGGGGAGTGCGCCATCATGTGGGGCGGGGGATAGGCGGGGTAGGCAGGCGCAGCGGGCGCGGGGGGGGGCGCGGGAGCGGGAAGGGCCTCCTTCTTCCGGATGAGGATCTCCACCCCCGCCTGCTTGAGCTCCAGCTCCACTATGTCGCGCGAATCCACCAGCCTGGCGCGGGGGGGGGGGGAGGGGAGAGGGGGTGAATATATGGGGAAGCGAGCGGGGAGCGGAGGGGTGCTTGCGAATCGGCTCGACATTCGCCCGCCTGCGTGAGCGCCAGCTCCACTGTGTCGCGCGAATCCACCAGCCTGCTCGCGCCGAGGGCGTAAGGGGGACGCGGGAGCGGGGGAGTGGTAGCGGAGGGGGGACGAGAGCGGCACGGGAACGAGAAGACAGAACGACTTAACGAGAGCCGGATGCGGAAAGAACAGGACGCGCGACTGGAACAAGGGGCCAGGGCAAGGGAACGCGCACGCGCACTACACTGCGAAGAGAACGCCGGTAAGAAAAACTCAAAGCACGAAACACGAAACAAGAAGCACGAAACACGAACACGAAACACGTGGAGCTGCAGGGCTTTCAAAAGAAGCGTGATAGGGGCGCACTTGATGAGGCTGGCCACGTCAGCAATGAACGCTGACGTGTCCGTGATCTCCGCTGCTGGCGCCTCCGTGGCAGCCGACGCCGCTGCCGCTGTCTGGAGGGGGAAACGACAGGGTAAGGAAGACAATGGGTGAAGGGAAGATGAATTGAAGGGAGAGAGAGACAGGGTAAGAAGGATTAGAGATGAGGGGAGGAAGGATCGAGGGCGGGTTTGAGTGCGGGAGAGTCAAAGAGAGGCGCAGGGAGGAGGGGTTGTGTTTGAGTGTGGGTGGTGGATAGGGGTGGGTGTGTGCACGCGAGCGAGTGTGGAACGAGTGTGAGGGAGCATGCAGGCGAGCGCTCCCGTGCGTTACGATGACGGAGCGAGGGGGAGAGGAAGAGAGCGGGTGAGGGGGAGAGGGAAAGAACACGCAAGAGAAAGAGAACGGCGGAAAGAGGGAGAAGCGCCACGCGAGCGACAGGGAGGGAGGGAGAGCGTGAGATGGTGGGTGTGGAGGTGGTGGAAGGTGGTGGGGGGAAGGGGAGTGGGGGGGGGGGGAGAGCCGGGGGAGGCGAACGAGCAGACAAGAAAAGCGTGGGCGAGGGGAGCGTTGGGGGTTCACTCACGTTGTCGGCGGCGGCGCAGCGAGTGACTCGCCGGGAAGAGGCGCTGGCCTGCAGGAGATGACCGCGCGGAGGGCATTCAGGCCCGCAGTCGAGAGGTGAGAGGGAGGGAGGGGGGGAGGAATGAACAAATGAGGGAGGGATGAGTGAGGGCGAAACCGGGGAAGGAAGTCAAGCCCACGTGGCGAGCACGCATCGCATCGCGATGAGGTCACACCCCGACGAAGATAACGAGTCGACTACTTGCGAGGCGCGGCTATTTTCGATCTCGCGACGAGGATCGTAGCTCTCGATCGTGGAGTGACCGCAATATCCCGTCGATTGCGCCAGCGTGCGCAGCAGTTGGACGCGCAGCAATTGGACGCGCAGCAGTTGGACACGCAGCAATTGGACGCGCAGCGATAGAACGCGAAACAACAGCACGCGTACCAACAGGATGTCATCTCAAAGTCGCTGGCAGAGTGCGACCCCACAAAGTGGCGACGCCCTAGCCATGCACATGCTCGCACTTCACAACACCCCCCGAAACCACTACTGTATTTGCACTCCGTGCCGACGTCGGAATTCCTCTCTGCCCACGTGGCGATGAGCCAAGGGGTGCATGAAGCGCGCGACGTCAGCACGGCACGGCGCAGCAGAGCACAGCGAGCTGCTGATTCGTTTGGGTCTTCATCCCCTTGCAGCGAGGCGCAGCACAGAGAGGCGCAGCGAGGCACGGACCTGAAGCGAGGCCTTGGCGGAAGGCACGAGGCGGAGCGGCATCTTGGCGGCGCAGCTGGCGGAGGAGAGCAGCTCCGCCGCGCGGTCGATCTTGGCGGCCGCCTGCCAGGCCACGGCCGCTCCGAGCGTGCACGCGGTAGACGCTGCCATGGTGATAGCGGCTAGGGCGAACTTACGCGGCGGAGAGGGAGAGTGCGGATCTGGTGGAACAGGGAACTGCGGCGGACGAGATCAAGGTGCGAGCGGGTGAATGAATGGAGCGGTTGAGCTACTCCCGAGGACAAATGGAAGGCTGGGGGAATATAATCGATGGAGGCGGAAGGAGGTGTATGAAGCGACGGATTGTGGGGGAAGGGGGAGTTGAGCGCAAAGGGATTGCCACAAGGAGGAATTGGGGTGGATGGGATCAGAGAGAAGGGGGGGACAGGAAGGTAACGCTGGGGAGGGGACAGTGAGTGGCGGAGCCGGGGTGAGGCGTGTGTGGCGGGAAGCGAGCGGAAGGTTGCGAATGGGTGGTGTAGGGCGGAAAGGTCTTATCGCCACGTCATCCATATCCATGCGACGATTACTGGCGCTGCCGAGTGTCGCCAAGGTTCATGCGAAGTCATGAAATCGCCTCTTTCCCAAACTGGAATCTGCGCCTTTGGGGTTAGCGAATGTCAAAAGTGGTTACTGGCAGCGTCAACAAATGGTTTGGTATCGGAGAGCTGTCGGGGTCACACAGATGTCCCTCATGGGACAGCCTTAGACATTTCCGCGTGACCCCATATCTCCATTAGTGGCTGAAACGGACATCTTTGACAGGGATGACTAGCGGTTTCTTTGATGGTGATTTCTCGGAGCGATTTATATGAGCAAATGACAAGAACTAAACGGTGTGCCACAAAGCAATTCAACGCCCACACCACGCACTGCACAACTTGTCCCGAGGTCGCCCCCTTATGTCAACCGTTCCCAGCACATGAACCTGATGCTACCCGCTAACCCACTGGACAATGTTTGCAAGAGCTTTCTATGCATTTTATCACACAATATCATCATTATACGATGAAGATGACCGACATGGCTACTCAATAAATATGGGTGTTTCAAGCACGCAACCCTATTTTTTCATTCTTTAAAATCATGATGCACTTCAATTACCATACATATTTTCGAAGCCACGACACGATTGTTTTCGGCGAACTCGCACAGTTGCGCGTCGATATTTTTAAGGACCTTCAAATCTGTGGCACCACGAGCTCCTTCAAAATAACATTTATGCAGCCATTAACACTGTCACGTGGCGCTGTTTTAGGTGTGGCATGTCGAGAAGAAAACTGAACAAGTGTTGAATAGAGAGGGAGAACAAGGGTATATACCTAAAAGTGTTGTACCCTCTAAGCGGTGACCCTATACAGTCTATACAAATATAAGTTATACATATATTTGACATGGCCGGCTAGATAACCACAAGAGTGAGTGCCAAGAGGAGAAAAAAATGGAGTGTTGAGAAGCACGGGTTGTCAAAACTCAGTCACTAATCACTGAGATAAAAGGGCTTGTTAAGTAGTGGATAAGTGCACCCATAACCCCCCAAGCATAGAGGCCTGTGGCCCTTCCCGAGGGATCTCAAGGGTAACCCCAGCGGGTCTCTCGACACCCCCGTTCGCTGGGATAGGCGGAAGACCCATATGTGACTTATACATTACATATGTGATGTGGTAGGCCCTGTACAGTTTCAAACTTTTGAAGGGGTTATGGGCGCACTTAACCACCACTTAGCAAGCCCTTTTAACTCAGTGGTTAGTGACTGAGCTCCCAAACCAAAGGCCTCAAGTTCAATTCCCAGTGTGCGTCGAGGAGGTGGCAATGCTGCAGAGGCGCTTGTGTCTTACGCTTACCCCAACGAGGGGGGGTGTCAAGATACACGTTGGGGTTGCCCTTGGGCCTCGGGGAAGGGTTACAGGTGCAGAGCCTAGGGGGTTATGGGCCCACTTACCCCCTACTGAACAAGCCGTTTTAACTCAGTGGTTAGTGACTGAGTTTCTAACACCTTCAACAATCTGATATTTCAGGAAAAAAAGCAACACGCATGGAGGTGGACAATAAGGGTATGAAAGCACAACGAGAAGGAAAAGCCACAACTGGAATCTAAAGGCATATTGGCAATGGAATGACATGGGAGTCCGTAAGGCAAGCTCAGCAGGCAGGGGGCTTACCATGCATAACATTGCTCACTCACCTTGCAGAATGGGCAGCGATTCATTGAACACCACCACTCTCTCGCGCCCAAATTGCCGCACCACCTCAACCTCCACCTCCCGGCTGTTCACAAGCGCCCTCGCCGTCCCCTCCAGTCGGCTTGTGAGCACCACCACCCAGTCAGGCGGGAAGGCGCGCGCCTCAAGGGGGGAGAGCGGGGCAGGGGAGCGGTACGTCAAGTCCAGGTTGAAGAGAGGGACGCCGGCGGGGTGCAGCAGATGGTGCCGCCGCAGCACCCGCCAGAGTGGCCGGCTGTGGTGCTCGCAGTCTTGGTACATGGGCTCTGAAAGAGGGGCGAGAGGAGGGGGGGGGGGGGAATGTCGTGGTTAAAGGGGAAAGGTAAGGTAAGAGTGTGAGGACTGGTCAGGAGAAAGGCTGGGATGGTCACAGGCCTAGCACGTGGACTGGGAGGGGAAGAGGAGGGGGGGAGAGGGAAGGAGTGGGAGGAAGTATTAAGAGGGAGATAGAGGGGTTGCAGGGGAGGGTGAGGGGGGGCTTTGGGGGAGGGGAGAGTGTGAGGATTTAGGGTCACTGTCTTGGGGCAGGGCAAGACGGACATGAATCCGCAGGAGGAGTTTTATCATGGGACATACATGGCACGTGTGATATGCGTGACATGCGTGGCATGGTACGTTGTTGAAGCGCATTCACCTGGAACACTGTGCGTGCTTGTAAAAGAACATCACCTAGTAGAACACGTGTGCAGGAGTTGTCTGGTACACCACGTATGCATGAGTTACCTGGTACACCACGCGTGCATGAGTTAATTGGTACACCACATGTGCATGAGTTACGTGGTACACCATGCGTGCGTGAGTTACCTGGTACACCACGCGTGCATGAGTTACCTGGTACACCACATGTATATGAGTTACCTGGTACACCATGCGTGCATGAGTTACTTGGTACACTACGCGTGCATGAGTTACCTGGTACACTGCGCGTGCATGAGTTACCTGGTACAGCGCGCATGCATGAGTTACCTGGTAGAGCAAATCGGCATGCATGAGGTCGTTGAAGTAGATGGGCAGCAGGCGGATGTTGTCTGGTTGCAAGCCAAGGAGCGGGGTGGCCCACTTCTCATAGAAAAGCCACTGATGGGCAAACGGCACAAGAGAGAGGGAGAGATAGAGCTACAGAGCGAAATGGGGTGGCCTCCACTATCTTCGCGATCATCATTCTCTTAGCGGTTGCTGCTTTCGTCCTCCCGGCTGTGAAGATCCTAGTAGATCAAGCCGGTGAAGCGACCGCAGTTGAGCCAGTCGCAACGACCTAACTAATCGCTGGGGCCTACTGCTTCCCCGTTGTCGCCGTTCGGGTAGTCTTCAAGTCACCTCGTGCTGCTTCACCTCAACCCACGGGCAACCTCGACATGGCCACGCTAGCATTCGCTTGCGAGATGGGCCAACGACCAGTGGCATTTGGGCAGCCACAGGATTCAGCATCTCCATGAACTTGGGGTTTTGTCGAGCCATCTCCGATAACTTTGCCATGTGCAGGCTGCTTCTGCTTAGCTTCTCCCCGGAGCCCTCCAGTTCTCCCTCCCGCAACCCCACCCTCTGCATCCCCAGCCTACGCATCCGCGAAAATGCAGCTTTCAACCCTCTTCCTTCTCGCGGTTGGCGTGTTGGGGTCGCCGATTTTGGCCTCACATGCGAGGACGGCAAGCCGGATGGCAGGAACGCTCTGTCACAAGGGAAAGTGGGTTGCATCAGATGCAACCGCAGATAGCCCAAAAACACCTGCCGACTACTGCAAATCAACGAGATCGAGAAAACTTACCACCTCAGTGGTGCCCTTTCTACTCCGGTGCTCAAGGACAGAGTGGCGGGAACGCTCTGCCAGCGGCGGCCCTCGCTGCAACTGTGGCACCCACTGAGTTTTGCGGAGTAGCGAGGGCTGGCTGGAGTTTGAAAACCTCTCCTCCATCAACTGTTGCAATAACCCGACACACCTTACGCCACTACCCATATCGTCCGCCTACATGGCGGGAACGCTCTGCTAGAAGGGAAAGTGGGTTGCCTCAGCTGCTACTGTGGATAGCCCAAAAATACCAGCCGACTGCAAATCAACAAGATCGAGAAACTTACCACCTCGGTGGTGTGCTTTCCGCTCCCGTACTCGAGGGAGGAGTGGACACGACCACCAGTGCAAGCCTCCTTTGCCACCTTGCCAAGAGACACTCACGAGTCAGGATCCAATTCAACGATTTGAAACACCATGTCATCCTGTTAATACAACTGCAAGTCCACCTTCAAATCGCAATGCAACAACCATGTCTTGCAGGGTTTGCATTCAGGGCCTGAATCATACGAAGGGTGGCCCAAGAGCATGAAGTCGCAGTGACGCTTCGAAGATGGGCCATCCAGACCATCTTCGGAGTCCGTGCATAGAGTCTGCACGAATGACAGAATAAGGGCCGATGTCACAAAGAAACAACACTGCGAAGATGACGCTATGCATCCGATGCATACCTACAGTAGATGTCTACAGGGGATGTACAAGCAGTGCAAGGTCAGCCAAGAGGGAGTCGTCCTTTGAAGCATAAGGGGCATCAAGGCTATCGACAGCGGAGTTCCTGAAGATGCTAGCTGAAGAGTCGGCCAAGGTGCGGTTTCGAGAGAACCCCAACACCAAAACGGTATGCAAGCTGACGGCACACTACCGCCAACGCTGGGCCATCTTACAACAGCGATGCCAAGCCAACGCACTCGTGGCCAAGGCCAACCAGGCCACGGAGGCAGCATACGCCCATGGGGCGCCGGACCCCAGAGCCCCCACGCTGGCGGACCTGCTCCAGGTGATTGAAGACCAGTAAAGGCTGCCCCAGGCACCCCGAGAGGGCCCCCCCCAGCCAGCTAGACAGTTTAGACCGCCCCTGCCATGTTTGTCCCCTGTACTCATGATATAAAACGAAATAAAGGACTGCTTGAGAGAGAGAGAGAGAGAGAGAGAGAGAGAGAGAGAGAGAGAGAGAGAGAGAGAGAGAGAGAGAGAGAGAGAGGGGGGGGGGGGGGGGGGGGGGGGGAACTATAGTGGGTCTCAGTGGCTGGAGAGAGAGAGATTGGCGAACAGGGTGAAGCAAGGGAGATGATTGCAACAAATGAGAGAAGTGACAAGATCTCACAGACTACCCCCTTCCTTTCGAATGGGAGGCACGTAGGAAACCATAATGGGCAATGGACCTAGCCATGTCCATCTTTCATGATGCGATGTGGAACATAACTCCCCCTTCGAGGCAAAGGTGGATGCAGTTAGATACCACCACGAGTCTAGTGCAAATGACGAATGCGCGGTTCATGAAAATGTAGGTAACGCTACTACCAAGGCAAGCAAAACACATGTTAAAACGTCGTGCTGGGTTCCTGAGGTGCTCCGAACACCATTATTCCCGAATTTTCATAATCACCCTAGGATGCCTTGTTTAGGGGATTAGGGTAGGCCACATTGGGTAGACATGGCTTGGATGGACATGAAACAAAAAAGCTTGGGATAAGGAAATGACTCTTTTCATACACTCTCTCCCCTTCCAGACATGATCTTACTTAAGACAGCCAACAACATGCAGATTGCGGAACCGGAGTTACACCTGTAATAACGAACAATTCTCGATGTGTGCCAAGGGCACCCAACTATTATGCAAGGACGTTCGATCCTTCCCGGCGACGAGAAACTCAAAGAGGCGAGCACTTCGTGGGTCACGAATCCGAAGGCTGAGGAATGTCACATCGTTGATTGTAGGGTTGGCGTCCAGTTGGATTTGCGGGTTGGCTCAATGACAAGGCATGCCACCTGTACTACTGATGTATGGTCGAGAAGGTTGCACATGAAATGATGGGCCGATTGCCCAATTGGCACGTAACAACACATGTGCTATTACGCTAGTGATGATAACTGACCACAATAGCGAGGGCGTAATTGAAAAGGACTCTCAGTTCCCTGATTGGTAGGTAATAGCATGGGCAGTGGAGATCTGCATTTGTTTTTTATACGAGATTTGCGTGCTTAATAGCCTCTCCTACTCTCTCTTGGGCAGCCTGTAAATTTTATGTGAATTGCTGCGCACGTGCAACTCGGTTGTCGGGATTCGACAAGATGGATGTTGTGGAGTTCTGCCTGTAGTTCAGGCATAATGGTGATTGTCGTATAGTTGTTGATAGGACATTGTTGTGTGCGAATTCAATTAATGGCAGTAGTGTCTCCTAGTCATCAACTATAACGGGTGGCACGAATTAGTCGCTCCATTGTCTCATTGGTCCGTTCAGTTTGACCGTTCGTCTCGGGATGATATGCATATGAGTCGTGTACGCAAGTGCTAGTTTGTTCTCAGAGGTGGCCCCAAAAGTTGGTGTTTTAAATTTTGTATCGCGAAAAAAAAGAGGTTGTCGGTACTTGATGTAGTCGAATAATGTTGGCGATGAATAACTGCATGGTTTCTTTGGCAGCGATCCTCTTTTAAAATGCACATTTTAATCAATTTAATGAGCACAGAACCTAGTTGACGCCATCCATGCAGCTTCACACGAGCGTTTTCGCATGCGGATACATGCTCGAAGCGCAGGCGAAGCAGTGCACCCCACTGTTGCCAGGTGAGGATCTTGGCCACACCAAACAAGGATCATGTAGGAGTTGAAGCCAATCATCGCTCCCCGTCCATCGCCTGTTGCCTTTCTGCCGGAGTCCCTCGTAACGTCACATACTGTCGCCACCAACTTAATGCAGGTCCGCGTAATAAAGACACCGCCAATTTGATACGTGTCTCATCGTCGTCGACGTCGGTGGCATTGAAGAACGGTTCCATGGCGAACAGCCACCCACTCGGCGTGGTGTGTTTCTCCATGGGGTTGAACGGCGGGGGCATGGGATGTTTTATCTTCACAACTGTCCGTCGCTCGCTCGAACTGTCGTCACGTGTTGCTGACGTCGCCTGCGGTTGATACGCGCTCGCACAATCTTCGTCCACGGTAACAGGCGACTCCTGACGCGTCGCACAACGCGTCTGGCGAAGGCCCACGTTCTCCTCTTTCAACAAAGCGAGCTCGAGGGCCATGGTCTCCATCTTTGCCATTATTTTGACAACCTTCGTCGTCAGTACGGATGCGCTTGCTGCCGCCTCTAACAGCTCAGCTATTTGCTTGGGAGTCATATTTTTAGCACTACGGCGAGGAGGGCTATTGACCGTGAATTAACCTAACTAGCTAACGCCACTAAAGACACTACGTGCACATGCAGCGTTAGAGACATGGAGCGCACACAACAAAGTAGGCGGAACTGAAGAAGAACCTGCACGACCGCTGGATAGCTCTTGTCTCCTAACGTGCGAGGTCGTTCTAAAAACTACCTCACTACGGAAGCCTAAATGGGCAGGAACGTAGCTCTGATACCAGTTGTTATGATAATCTCTGATAATCTCCGGATAGGAGTGGAGTAATGCAATAGTGAGGTCGTGATTAAAGTGTATAAGAGTACAAATGAAGCAAATGGCTAAATACAAGCACAACTGGCCTAGCAAGAGAGCCTCGAGGAAGGCTACGAAACTCACGCGAGGTGGTTCCGGGCGCCTCGGGACTCGGAAGTGTCGGACGCGACGCCGCGTGCAGGCTTGGGGTCTTGAACGTAGTCCGAATCTGAATTGTCTGGCCAAGCGTGGACTGTACTCGATGTTAGCGATGTTAGCGAGGCTCGATGAAAGTCAGGTCTGTACTCAATGTTAGCGAGGCTGGATAAGGAAAACGGGTTTTTCTTACAACGACATATCGACTACACTTGTTCTCTTCTATTGTCTTACCCAAAATATTCTAAATTGCTGTCCCGTCTACCAGGTTCTCAGCATGACTCGCGTTGACACTAAACCTGATTGGCAGCAGTCTGAACGATATTGAAAAGTCAAGTCGTACTTCGACAATTGCGAGAATCTGAGCCGGGAGATCGCACAGGAAAATTACCTAGTGCATGAGCGAGAATTTGTAACCAAGTGACAGTATTTACTGTGGTTTTCCCCTTCAATGTCCCGTTTGCCCGGGTTTGACCGTTTCCTGCTTACAAGCTCAAGCCGCGTGCGTGGGACCCAATAGGAAAAAGGGTGTACCAAGGGGGCTGCTTCCAGGCCGCGACCGCGGTGTAGCGGGACAGCATCGAGCGCAGCCCAGAACATAGCACAGCCCAGTCCAGAGCGCAGTCCAGACACATGAATGCAACGTTGGAGGAGGAGGTGTTTTGGCTGGCGTACGAACTCGTATCGAGGCGCGTGATTCATGCGCGCAACAGCGGCAAGCGGTAGGGTAACGACTGGGATTCGTTGAGGGCGGGCGAGAAGGCGCTGCGAGAAGGCGTGGCGAGTGACTCACTAACGCTTGCATTGATACCCGTGACGATCATGCCGCGGCTTGAGTCGCGCAGCGCGAATGCAGCTGCGACGTACGACGGGAAAAGGCGTCAATGAACCGCGATGCTCGTGTAGAGGGCGGCAGGGACAGAGCATCTCGCGGGCACGCGTGGGGCGAAAAGGAAGTGAGGCGGAAGGGCAGGTGGCTTTAGTGGTGTAAGTCCGCAGTCGTAACACGAAGGCCGCCAGCACGCGATAGGATGGCGGCAACGGAAGGGAGGGTGGGCGAGGGCGATACGGCGAGGGGGGAAATACCGGACGAGGATGGTGGGGAGGCGAGAGGAGCGGATATTGCAGCGAGGGGGAGGCGCGGCGGGCTCTACTTGCCGAGGAAAGGAACCGCGGGATTCGCGCTGCTCATGTGCCTTCTCAGGTGCCCTTTCTCAGGTGCCCCTTCTCAGGTGCCCCTTCTCAGGTGTCTTCTCAGGTGCCCCTTCTCAGGTGCCCCTTCTCGGGTGTCTTCTCAGATGCCCCTTCTCAGGTGCCCCTTCTCAGATGTCTTCTCAGGTGCCCCTCTTCTAAGTTGCACCTCTTCTCTCAGGTGCCTACTCAGGTGCCTACTCGGGTGCCTTCTGGTGCCCCTCATCTCAGGTGCCCCTCATCTTAGGTGCCCCTCATCTCAGGTGCCCCTAATCTCAGGTGCCCCTCATCTCAGATGACCCTCATCTCAGGTGCCTCTCTCCTGATGTGCCCCCTCGCCGCTCGTCCTGTCTCTCCCCACCTCTTGTGCCCGTCTCCTGCCCCGCTCCTACTATTACTGGCGGCAGCAGCAGTGGGGAGAAACTCCCCCACTCCTCCTTCCCCTCTCGCTCCCCTTTCACCCCATCCTGCCCAAATCGCAGCAGGGGCGGGGCGGCATGGGCATTCTGGCTTGAAAATGGAGAAAGGCAAACCTTCTTTCCGCACTTGCCGTCGCCAGGAGGCAGCAGCAAGGTTGAAGCAACATGGGCAAGGAGCAGCAGCTAGCGGCAGTGGAAAAAGATGTTCCTCTCTTCCCCCCCCTTTTTCCCCTTCTCCTCCCCCCCTTTTTCCCCTTCTCCTCCCCCCCCTTTTTCCCCTTCTCCTCCCCCCCTTTTCCCCTTCTCCTCCCCCCCTTTTTCCCCTTCTCCTCCCCCACTTTTTCCCCTTCTCCTCCCCCCCTTTTTCCCCTTCTCCTCCCCCCCTTTTTCCCCTTCTCCTCCCCCCCCTTTTTCCCCTTCTCCTCCCCCCCTTTTTCCCCTTCTCCTCCCCCCCCTTTTTCCCCTTCTCCCCCCCCCCCTTTTTCCCCTTCTCCTCCCCCCCTTTTTCCCCTTCTCCTCCCCCACTTTTTCCCCTTCTCCTCCCCCCCTTTTTTCCCCTTCTCCTCCCCCCTTTTTTTCCCCTTCTCCTCCCCCCCCTTTTTCCCCTTCTCCCCCCCCCCTTTTTCCCCTTCTCCTCCCCCCCTTTTTCCCCTTCTCCTCCCCCCCCTTTTTCCCCTTCTCCTCCCTCCACTGTCCCCCTTCCCTCCTCCACAACCCCTCCACGCTCGCTCCCCGCCCTACGCAACCTCCCTAAATCGCAGGTGGCAGCAGCAGGGGCGGGGCGGCATGGGCAAGGAGCAGCTGATAGCAGCAGTGGAGGCCAGTGGACTCACAGACACCGGCATGAGGTGAGGTGAGGGGGGGAGAGGTGAGGCGGTGAGTCGCACCCGTGAGGTGAGGCGGTGCAACGGCGCAATGAGGCATGCGTTGGAACGAGGAAGCGGCTAAGGGAGAAACAGGAGTGTGCTTGGGTTGGGCGGTTGGGTACATGAGATAGGAAATTGCGCGTTCATGGCGAGTCGTATCAAGGTAAGACATACTTATGATGATAGGTCAAGACATCGTTTCTCGTAATAGAAGGCAGGGCACAGCGTATAGAGATAGTGACATGCGTGTACATCCACCGTCCACGAAGGCTCATTGACATCGTCCTTCCGTTTGCCCCCTCGCCTTCCGCTCTTCCGTTTCTTGTTTTCCCCCCTCCCTTCTCTATTTCCCACACATTAAGAAAATAGTCTCTTGTTCCCCTCCCTTCTCTCCTGTCCGTCCCCGTGTGCCCCAAGGCCGTCCATTCCGCGTCGCGACCGGCCGCAGTTGTTCGCCCAGCAGGGCCACAACTACTACTGTGGATGGAACGCCATGCGCACCTTAAAGCAGTACGCTCTAGTGGACCACCGCTGTCGCCCTGCGCTGTAAGACCATTGAGTCGCCCTGCCCTGTAAGACTTTTGAGTCGCCCTCCCTGTAAGACTTTTGAGTCGCCCTGCCCTGTAAGACTTTTGAGTCGCCCTGCCCTGTAAGACTTTTGAGTCGCCCTGCCCTGTAAGACTTTTGAGTCGCCCTGCCCTGTAAGACTTTTGAGTCGCCCTGCCTGTAAGACTTTTGAGTCGCCCTGCCCTGTAAGACTTTTGAGTCGCCCTGCCCTGTAAGACTTTTGAGTCGCCCTGCCCTGTAAGACTTTTGAGTCGCCCTGCCCTGCAAGACTTTTGAGTTGCCCTGCGCTGAAACCGCCCTCAAGCCTAGCGGTCTGCTGTTGCCCTGTGGTCTTCCCTGAACCCCGACTATCGCTGTTGGAGCAAACAGACAGTAACAATAGCCGATTTTTGCTCTTCGAGTTTGCAAGGGTGACCAGCCTTTACGAGTCCACACTCTTATCCACACTTGAGCTGCGCGCATTAGTGGACCTCCAGTGCTCTCGCCCTGCCCTGTGGGTGTCTTCAGTCCATCCCCATCTCCAGCGCTCCCCGCTGTCTCCAGCGCTCCCCGCTGTCTCCAGCGCTCCCCACTGTCTCCCCGCTGTCTCGAGCGCTCCCCGCTGTCTCGAGCGCTCCCTGCTGTCTCGAGCGCTCCCCGCTGTCCCGAGCGCTCCCCGCTGTCTCGAGCGCTCCCCGCTGTCTCGAGCGCTCCCCGCTGTCCCGAGCGCTCCCCGCTGTCTCGAGCGCTCCCCGCTGTCTCGAGCGCTCCCTGCTGTCTCGAGCGCTCCCTGCTGTCCCGCTCGCATCCCTGCTGCACTGCCTGCGCCCTGCTTCTCTTGCTTCCCTCTCCTCTCTCCCCCCCCACCCCCACACCCCCCTGCTCTGTCCACTCCTGCAGCAGCTGACTTGGATCCCAATTCAGTGACTTCTTTGTACCACTCCCCATGCCTCTCCCCATGCCTCTCCCCATGCCGCTCCCCATGCCTCCCCCCATGCCTCTCCCCATGTTTTTCTCCATGCCTCTCCCTGTGCGTCTCCCAGTGCCTCTCCCCATGCCTCTCCCCATGCCTCTCCCCATGCCTCTCCCCATGCCTCTCCCCATGCCTCTCCCCATGCCTCTCCCACATGCCTCTCCCCATGCCTCTCCCACATGCCTCTCCTCTGCCGTCCAGCTACTCCCTCACTCCAGCGGGGGTGGCCGCAGCACAGACATGCATGGAGCGAGCTGGACTGCAGGCAGGTGTGTATTGGGGAGAGGTGAGGTGTTGGCAGGCATGGATGGAGAGGTGAGTGTGCTGGCGAGTGTGGGGGGAAGGTGAGCCTAATGGCATGTGTGTGTGGACCCCCATGTTGACCCCCTTGTGGACCGACACATTCGTTTCCCTCCCAACACATGCATGCCAATGCCTATCCCCGTCGGTCCCTGCCGTTTCTCATATTCAGACGGCATTGCGGAACCATCGGCTGAACCAACTACCTCAGTCGCCGCACCACCTGCCAGCCCACCAGGCACTCCCTTACCAGCCACAGCTAGTCAGCAGGTGACTCCCGCTCGACCTCTTCCCCCTGTGCTTGCTTACCTCCACTCCCTTTCCTGCAGCAGCAGCGTCCTCCGTTCCTCCGCCCATGTGGCACGGCGAGCATTCCTCATCATGACCTTCTTCCTCATCATGACCTTCTTCCTCATCATGACCTTCTTCCTCATCATGACCTTCTTCCTCATCATGACCTTCTTCCTCATCATGACCTTCTTCCTCATCATGACCTTCTTCCTCATCATGACCTTCTTCCTCATCATGACCTTCTTCCTCATCATGACCTTCTTCCTCATCATGACCTTCTTCCTCATCATGACCTTCTTCCTCATCATGACCTTCTTCCTCATCATGACCTTCTTCCTCATCATGACCTTCTTCCTCATCATGACCTTCTTCCTCATCATGACCTTCTTCCTCATCATGACCTTCTTCCTCATCATGACCTTCTTCCTCATCATGACCTTCTTCCTCATCATGACCTTCTTCCTCATCATGACCTTCTTCCTCATCATGACCTTCCTCATCATGACCTTCTTCCTCATCATGACCTTCTTCCTCATCATGACCTTCTTCCTCATCATGACCTTCTTCCTCATCATGACCTTCTTCCTCATCATGACCTTCTTCCTCATCATGACCTTCTTCCTCATCATGACCTTCTTCCTCATCATGACCTTCTTCCTCATCATGACCTTCTTCCTCATCATGACCTTCTTCCTCATCATGACCTTCTTCCTCATCATGACCTTCTTCCTCATCATGACCTTCTTCCTCATCATGACCTTCTTCCTCATCATGACCTTCTTCCTCATCATGACCTTCTTCCTCATCATGACCTTCTTCCTCATCATGACCTTCTTCCTCATCATGACCTTCTTCCTCATCATGACCTTCTTCCTCATCATGACCTTCTTCCTCATCATGACCTTCTTCCTCATCATGACCTTCTTCCTCATCATGACCTTCTTCCTCATCATGACCTTCTTCCTCATCATGACCTTCTTCCTCATCATGACCTTCTTCCTCATCATGACCTTCTTCCTCATCATGACCTTCTTCCTCATCATGACCTTCTTCCTCATCATGACCTTCTTCCTCATCATGACCTTCTTCCTCATCATGACCTTCTTCCTCATCATGACCTTCTTCCTCATCATGACCTTCTTCCTCATCATGACCTTCTTCCTCATCATGACCTTCTTCCTCATCATGACCTTCTTCCTCATCATGACCTTCTTCCTCATCATGACCTTCTTCCTCATCATGACCTTCTTCCTCATCATGACCTTCTTCCTCATCATGACCTTCTTCCTCATCATGACCTTCTTCCTCATCATGACCTTCTTCCTCATCATGACCTTCTTCCTCATCATGACCTTCTTCCTCATCATGACCTTCTTCCTCATCATGACCTTCTTCCTCATCATGACCTTCTTCCTCATCATGACCTTCTTCCTCATCATGACCTTCTTCCTCATCATGACCTTCTTCCTCATCATGACCTTCTTCCTCATCATGACCTTCTTCCTCATCATGACCTTCTTCCTCATCATGACCTTCTTCCTCATCATGACCTTCTTCCTCATCATGACCTTCTTCCTCATCATGACCTTCTTCCTCATCATGACCTTCTTCCTCATCATGACCTTCTTCCTCATCATGACCTTCTTCCTCATCATGACCTTCTTCCTCATCATGACCTTCTTCCTCATCATGACCTTCTTCCTCATCATGACCTTCTTCCTCATCATGACCTTCTTCCTCATCATGACCTTCTTCCTCATCATGACCTTCTTCCTCATCATGACCTTCTTCCTCATCATGACCTTCTTCCTCATCATGACCTTCTTCCTCATCATGACCTTCTTCCTCATCATGACCTTCTTCCTCATCATGACCTTCTTCCTCATCATGACCTTCTTCCTCATCATGACCTTCTTCCTCATCATGACCTTCTTCCTCATCATGACCTTCTTCCTCATCATGACCTTCTTCCTCATCATGACCTTCTTCCTCATCATGACCTTCTTCCTCATCATGACCTTCTTCCTCATCATGACCTTCTTCCTCATCATGACCTTCTTCCTCATCATGACCTTCTTCCTCATCATGACCTTCTTCCTCATCATGACCTTCCTCATCATGACCTTCTCCTCATCATGACCTTCGTCCTCATCATGACCTTCTCCTCATCATGACCTTCTTCCTCATCATGACCTTCGTCCTCATCATGACCTTCTTCCTCATCATGACCTTCGTCCTCATCATGACCTTCGTCCTCATCATGACCTTCGTCCTCATCATGACCTTCGTCCTCATCATGACCTTCTTCCTCATCATGACCTTCTTCCTCATCATGACCTTCTTCCTCATCATGACCTTCGTCCTCATCATGACCTTCGTCCTCATCATGACCTTCTTCCTCATCATGACCTTCTTCCTCATCATGACCTTCTTCCTCATCATGACCTTCTTCCTCATCATGACCTTCGTCCTCATCATGACCTTCTTCCTCATCATGACCTTCGTCCTCATCATGACCTTCTTCCTCATCATGACCTTCGTCCTCATCATGACCTTCTTCCTCATCATGACCTTCGTCCTCATCATGACCTTCGTCCTCATCATGACCTTCGTCCTCATCATGACCTTCTTCCTCATCATGACCTTCTTCCTCATCATGACCTTCGTCCTCATCATGACCTTCTTCCTCATCATGACCTTCGTCCTCATCATGACCTTCGTCCTCATCATGACCTTCTTCCTCATCATGACCTTCGTCCTCATCATGACCTTCGTCCACAGGCCTTGTACGGCCTGCCACTTCATGGTCCGTCTCGCATGTAACCCATCCTTCATAGCTTGAGCCCCATGCGTCTTGCATGTATGCATCACGTGCAGGCAACGGGGGAGCAAGGGGACGGATCAGGCGTCAGTAGCAACCGGAGAGGTGGACGGGGCCGGGGGCGTTGTGAGAGGGAGGGGGGAGGAGAAGGGATAGGAGGAAGAGGAAGCCCTTATGCCGAGGGGCAGCAGGCGGGGTCAGGAAGGGTTGGGAGAGGGAGAGGGCGTAAGCGGCAAGCACGCAGTGCTGCTGATGGTGGAACAACTGTAGCAGCAGCTGTAGCAGCAGCTGTAGCATCCCAAGACGCAGCAGCAGCAGCAACAGCAGCAGCGAGAAAAAGAGCGGCACGAGCGCCACCAGCAGCAGCAGGCGAAGCAGCAGCACCGCTAAGTGGGAGTGGAGTGGCAGCAGCAGCAGCAGGCGAGGGAGAGGCAGTGCTGGGAGGTGAAGCCTCGGCACTCATGGCATCACTGCATGGCATGAAAGGTGCGTGCATGCGTGCTGTAGGAGTGTGTGCAGTAGATGGTGTGGTGGGTGCATGTATGATGGGTGCATGTATGGTGGGTGCATGTGTGGTGGGTGCATGTATGGTGGTGTGGTGAGAGCAAGGATGTCCATAGCAATCATTGCACTGTGGCATTGACTGCGGTGAGCCATGAGTTGTCGACCCTGTTAGTTCGAGATAAAAATAGCCGAGTGGGGCCGTCCCGGATAGCCGCTCTCTCACAGCTATCTTCGTACCAATGCAGTCATCTCCTTCCTCCTTTCCTCTCCCTCCTGCTTCCCTCTACCTCCGTGCACCTCTCCGGTGTGGGGCAACGAATCTCAGGCTCAGGCTGCTCAGGCGACCGCCATTCCTCCCTTGCATCGGCGCACCCTGCGTCTCCACAGCCCAGCCTGTCGCCCTCAGAGACGGCTGACATTCGCCTGCCCCCCCTTGCCCAGGGGCAACGGTTCTGTGACGCGTACGAGGTGGTGGTGCTCATCGACAGCAGAGAGAAGGGGTGAGAAGGGAAGGCATGTGTTGGGTGAGGGGTGAGGGACGAAATGCGGCCATCATGGTGCTAGATAGCAGCTCTGTGAAGCGTAACGAGTGGTGGTGCTGATAGACAGCAGTGAGAAGGGGTGAGAGGGGGTGAGAAGGGGTGAGAAGGGTTGAGAGGGGGTGAGAAGGGGTGAGGAGGGATGAGGGGGTGAGAAGGAGTGAGAAGGGGTGAGAGGGGGTGAGAAGGGGTGACTAGGGAAGGGATGTGATGGGTGAAGGACCGGATGAGGTTGACATGGAGATAGAAGGGGTGGCGAAAGGGATGCAAAATGGGGCGGGCAAAGTGTGGGAAAGGGTGAGAGTTGGAGGGACAGAGAGGAGGAATGAGAGCAGGGAATGCAAGGAGAGAGAAGGGATGGATGGGAGCTCGTGGATTGTTGAGCAAGGGGCGGATTTAATTTGGAAAGCTTGGCCGTCTCTCACTGCCCTTTATTCTCTCTGTCCCTTGTGCTACGTGGCCACTCCCTGCGCTTCTGCGTCATCCCCCCTCATCCCCTTCCGTCTCTCCCGACTTATCCCCTTCCTCCTCCTTCCCGCGTCCACTTTCTTTTCTCCCCCGCCCTCCCACCACCCCTCAGAGCAGCGCAGCTCGCGGAGTTCCTCAGCAACGTGGAAAAAGTCCCGGCACAGGTACCTCTGAAGGAAGGTCCCGGCTCAGGTACCTCTGAAGGAAGGTCCCGGCACAGGTACCTCTGAAGGAAGGTCCCGGCACAGGTACCTCTGAAGGAAGGTCCCGGCACAGGTACCTCTGAAGGAAGGTCCCGGCACAGGTACCTCTGAAGGAAGTAACTCTGTTGCCCCACTCTGTGGGTGCACGCCCCACACCCTGTGGGTGCACGCCCCACACCCTGTGGGTGCACGCCCCACACCCTGTGGGTGCACGCCCCACACTCCCACACCCGGTGTGTGCACGCCCAACACCCGGTGGGAGAATCGAAGAAACAGTTGTGTGCATGTACCTCTTGTCCAGTGTGTGCATGCCCCACACGCACAGGAATGGTCTGCAGTTCTCTTGTTTCTCCTCTTCTTTTTTCCACGTCCACCTCCACCCCCCTGCCGCTAATCACGAGGCCTACTATCTCGTTGTGCGCTGGACTCTCTAGTCATAAATCTGCTGACATTTCTTCCATTCTTTGTTATAATCATTTGATGTTTTGGTGTGTTGGATGTGTGAAGTGTATTCTGCAACGTCATCCATTTTGAAGTCCACCTGTAATTTGACCAATCTGCCAAGTCATTATGGAGATTCCTGTAATTCCACCTGCAATTCCCATCTCATTTTATCCCATCCATCCATCCATCCATCCATCCATCCATCCATCCATCCATCCATCCCATCCATCCATCCATCCATCCATCCATCCATCCATCCATCCACCCATCCATCCATCCATCCATCCATCCATCCCATCCATCCATCCATCCATCCATCCATCCATCCATCCATCCATCCATCCATCCATCCATCCATCCATCCATCCATCCATCCATCCATCCATCCATCCATCCATCCATCCATCCATCCATCCATCCATCCATCCATCCATCCATCCATCCATCCATCCATCCATCCATCCATCCATCCATCCATCCATCCATCCATCCATCCATCCATCCATCCATCCATCCATCCATCCATCCATCCATCCATCCATCCATCCATCCATCCATCCATCCATCCATCCGTCCATCCACCCATCCACCCACCCATCCAACCATCCATCCCTCCCTCCCTCCCTCCCTTTCTTCTTTGCTGTGCTGTCCTCCCTAGTGCGGTCTTTCCCTAATCACTTCGCCTTCTTTTATTCCAGAAGGACCTTACTCAGTGCCTCCTAATCATCAACCCGGCGACACCTGCTGTCAGCAATGCTCATTGGGAGGCAGTATATCGAAGGCTTCACGCGCGCGTCTGTGCGTCCTCCTGCTTTAGGTCAGCTCAGAAGCACACACATCTCTGCTCCCTCTTCGTTCATATTACCAGGTCACAGCGCTGCCTGTGGGCGATGCTCTCTGGGCGGCTCAGCCGCTCACTCCAACCTCATCCTCCGTCCCTACCTCCTCCTCCTCTGCCCCCCCCTCGTGCACCGCACCCTCCTCCTCCTCCTCCTCCCCTGCCCTCCCCGCGGCCCTCTTCTGCCTGGAGTGGGTGGTGGAGCGCAAGAGAGTGGACGACCTGTGGGCGTCCATCAAGGGCAAGCGCTTCAAGGACCAGAAGCTGCGCATCAAGGTGGGCGGGGGGCAGAGCTAGCGGGTGTGCGCCAGACCTAGTGCTGCTTGTTGGTGGTGTGAGGAGCAAGAAGAGAGTGGACGGCGTTTGGTCATCAATCAAGTCTAAGCGATTCAACAACCAAGTTACGGATCAAGGTGGGTCTTCGCTTCCAGTCCCCTTCCCACACTCTTCCCATTTAGGACACTTATCACTTATCTCTGATCACTGATCAATGGTCAGTTTACGCAGTCAAGGGAAACCTGGCGATAAACACTCTGAGAATTCGGCCCCCTTGCTCCTTGTGCTTTCTTTTCCTTTCCTTCCCCCCCCTACACTCATTGCTCCCCTCCCAGCACTGCGGCCTTCGCTGCCCAGTCTATGTGGTAGTAGGCAACCTGTTTCAAGGGCGCTGAGCTCTTTTTCTTGCACCTTGCTCCTGTTCCCTTCCCTTCCTGTCCTCTTCCCTTCCCCTTCCCTCCCCCCTCCCCTTCCCCCTCCAGCACTGTGGCCTTCGCCGCCCGATCTACGTGGTGGAGGGGAATCTGGACACCAGCAACGGCGCTGAGAGCCTGCGCACGGCGTATGCTGTCTCCTCCGTCTCATCATGCCACCTTTTATTTCCCCGCACAGTGCCAATTGATTGGACTGGAACACATGTTGTTTTGGAATGCGACATGGTAGCGTGCAATAGCAAGCTGCATTTGTGCGCGCACTCGCAAGTAGCAGCAAGGGAGCACCAGTGAATGCATTGTCAGGGAGAATGGAGAGAATGGAGAGAATGGAGAGAATGGAGAGAATGGAGAATCAAGCAACTCCTCCTCCAACCTAAGTTTAAAGTGGTGAACCTGGCGAAGCCACTGAGCTCTGGTGAGAGCGAAAGCAGTGGGGAGACATGCGGCACTAGCTGCGGTTGATTGTAATCTAATGCTCTCATACATGTCAGTGGTGACATGCACCGCCCCACATGCATCACTCACATTGCCCTTTCCACTCAATTCTTTTCCTTGCCGTCCCACCTTTTACCAGCTCCGTCCAAACAGCTCAGCACACCACAGCTTTGACGTGCACCGCATCACACAACTCACGCGCACTGTCCTCTCCTTCCCTTTATCCCCCCTGCCCTCTCACCAGGTCTGTCCAAACGCTAGTGCATGACGGCTTTGACGTGCACCATACCACATGCATTGCACACACTCGCCAGCACTACGCGCACCTCACGCGCGCCATCACCCACATCTGCAATCACCTCTCTATGGCACCCCGCCTGACAGCCCCACTCAATTCCACCAACCCCCCTCCACCTCATCTGCCGCATGCCTCAGCATCACCTTCCCCCCCTCGCGCCTGCTGCGTCACATTTGACCAGTTTCTGGAAGCCTGCCGCTCCTCGCAATCACTCACAGTCGGGGATGTCTTCGGCCACATGCTGCTGCAGGTGAGTGTGCTGCCCCTTCACTCACTCGCTCTAGACCATGCCCCACCTTCCACCCCCCTTCCCCCCTCGCAGCTGCTGTGCCACATTTGATCCGTTTCTTAACGGGGGGATGTCTTCGGACACATGCTGCTGCATTTGTGTGAATCACACAACCTCGTCTTCAGGAGGATTATAAATTGCCGCATGTTTGTAGCTTGGTTGGGCTTCATATGTGCCTGGATCTTCTCTCTTGCATCATCTGTTCCTCCTCCACAACATTCCATCCCTTCGTCTCACATTCCCTTGACCCTCATGCCACCAGCTGTGAGGCCTCCCAGCCGTCATTGCCTCGGTCAAACTGCGCCGCCACCCCTCCTTGCACACTGAGTGTTGAGAACTCTCATACCGCACCCCACCCCTTCCTGCCACCAGGTGCGGGGCCTGACAGTGGACATGGCCTCTGCCATCCTGCGCCGCTACCCCTCTCTGCACACCCTCCACTCCGACTATGCCTTCCTGGTGCGGCCACCTGTTCTACTTCTTAATTTCGTAAGCTATACCTAGTGCTATCTTGCGAACTGTTCAATCTCGAAGTCATGTGCTTGCCATTTCTGCTTGTGATCCATCAGTCCGGCCCACCTATTCTACCCTCACTCTCTAGGCCCCTGTCATCACTCACCCCACAGAGAGGAGGGCGTCAGGGGGGCACAGGAGTGGCTCCTGTGTGGCATGCACATGAAGGTTAGGGCTGTGCGTTCTCCTCGCACCTTCTCGTCTTCTCTCCCTCTTGCCACCTTCATCCCCCGCCTCGTGGAATCTTTCACCCTCATGGCAGGAGGGCAACAGGGAGGCGCAGGAGCGGCTGCTGTCTGGCGTGCATGTGAACGGGAAGGCCGTTGGTGCTGCCATCAGTAAGCGGGTGTTCGAGCTCATGTGTACACTAATGTGAATCACATGTAAGCAAGAGAATTATATCATTTTTACTCTCATGTAGTGTTCTATGTGTTCAAATTATATAAGTTATAATTTAATATAGGCTTGGTAGGTTGTTACTGAACCTTTCTGTAGGGGGTACAAACCCTTCCTTGTACTCCCCTCTCTTCTAATCCAACTCTCTTTTCTCTCCTCAACTTTCCTAGCACCTAAAACCTCTCGCCATTCTCATGGCTCCTCCTAGCTCCTAGCTAAACCTTGTGCCATTCTATGGCTTCCTAGCTAAGCTAGTCTTTTGACATGGTATCAGAGCAGTTCGTTCCGCGTGGGCCTGCTCCTCGCGTTTCCGCTGCGTGCTCGTTTCTCTCTCTATCTCGCGCTGCCATGGCGGCCGCGTTAAGCTGCTGTGGCCGCGTCGTCGTGCCGCGGCGCCGCCGTCGACGTCCATGGCGCCCGCGTCCAGCTGCTGTGGCCGCGCCGTCGTGCCGCAGCTCCGCCGTCGCGTCAAGATGCTGTCGCGACGTGACGGCGCCGTCACGCTGCCGCGGCGTCTACGCGACAGCGCGCGGTCGGCGTAACGGCGACGTCGTGCTGCCGTCGCAACGTCGACGCCCCGCTGCGGCATCGACGCCGCTCCATGACGGCGTCGTCGGGCTGCAGCCGGCCGCGTGACGCTTGTGGCGCCGCTAGACCGGCCGCCCGCATGTCAGCCTGTGGCGCCCCCCCCCCCCACCCCCCTCCTTCCCTTGTGCCCTCTTCCATTCCGCAGACGACGGCTGACTCCCGCCGGCCGTCCCACCGTCGCGGGGCCTGGCCACGTCACCGAGAGGTGCGGGTGCCGCCGCCGCTGCCGCTGTTGTCGAAGCCGCCGCCGCCGCCGCTGTCGCCGCTTGCGTCGGGGCCACGCAGCCGCACGCCGCCGCTGCCGCCGCTGTCGACACTGCCGCCGCTGCCGCCGTCGCCGCCGCAGCCCCTGCGGTCGACGTCGCCGCCTCACGCGCCGTGGGGTCGACCGACCTAGAGTCGCTGTCACTGTGGCTGGAATGGGGGTGCTAGGTTAGGGGGTGTGGGTGTGTGTGGGCATGTGACTACCAAGCCTAGGGGGTGTGTTCAAATTATATAAGTTATAATTTAATATAGGCTTGGTAGGTTGTTACTGAACCTTTCTGTAGGGGGTACAAACCCTTCCTTGTACTCCCCTCTCTTCTAATCCAACTCTCTTTTCTCTCCTCAACTTTCCTAGCACCTAAAACCTCTCGCCATTCTCATGGCTCCTCCTAGCTCCTAGCTAAACCTTGTGCCATTCTATGGCTTCCTAGCTAAGCTAGTCTTTTGACACTATGTACATGAATTGTAGTACCCGTAAACGAGTGGATATATTCTCAGAGTAATGAAACAAGTAGAGTGAGAGGATACAAGGGGATATAACCTAAGGTGTTGTACTCTCCATGAGCATGCACCTATCTAGAGTACAACATACCGTAATCCCCCGTATAAAACACCCGCCGGAATTAAGCTCCCCCGGGTAGCTTGAGCGGGTACGGGTGTTTAATTTTTCTGGATATACACAACACCCTACTTTCGGACGTGAAAACTTTTGAACACCCCCCTGCCACCTAGAATCTGCATTTTTAGCAGGAAACACTAGAATTTTGCAGTGCATAGATGTGTCCAACCATTCGTTTTTTTCCACTCCTGCTGGGGCAACCGTATGCACGTCAAAGCAAGTGGGGAAAACGAGGTCGTGGCCATCGCGACGCAGGTGTTTAGGTAGGAGACGAATCTGCCCGAACGAAAACAAAGGCACCGAGAACATTGAAATCTGAAAGGTTCATACTGTACTCGACTTTCGCGTGTCGCGCCAAATCAAACGAGTGCCGATTGGTTGTTCTGGCAGCATCCTCTCTGACACTGCACGCGCAGTGCCAATGTGGCATGCAGATGGGCAATATCGGCCGGTAGTATGCAATGAGATGACCAAAAGTGGGTATCTGACTCAAATGAACGTGGTGAAGCATGCACACTTGAATTCCAATAAAAAAATGCATATGCACATTCCATAACTCCTGGGTGTTTTATTTTTTTTGCCTTTAATTACACCCAGCCCAAAATTTCGCTGCATTTTTATTAACACCATAGGGTGTTTTATACGGGGGATTACGGTATTCAATTATTGTGAAAGCTTGCTTGGGTCATCTTGGCAAAGGCAGCGTCCTTCATTTCATATGGGATTGCATACATGGTTCTCGCCCAATAGACTACACCTACAAATAGGGTGGGTGGGTGGGGAAAACGAAACTGGAACTAGAAATGAAGAACGTGGGTGAGGTCGAATGGCCTCACGTCCCTCTTTTGTAGGCAAAAGAGGGTGAGTAGCGCTTCGACGCTGTCCTTGCTGCGTTGGCCCTTGCTGCACTTTCACAATACACATTTTTATAAAGCGTTACACGCTTTCAAAAAATTACATATTGTGAAAGCTTGCTTGGGTCATCTTGGCAAAGGCAGCGTGCTTCATTTCATATGGGTCTTCTGAGGCATGTGTAGCAGGGGCTGGCGATGTCGCTCGATAGACAACTGGGGATGACTGGGCGATGGAGCGAAGGAAGCGTCTTGGATGCACGTGGACGCCGCAAGGAGCTGGTCGTGCGCAATGGTGACGTAGAGATCTTTGGCCGTATCGCTGCGCCAGCGACCGAGTCGTTTGAAGAGCCGGTCGGGGATCCCCAAGTTAGCTGCCGCAGTTGCGGCGCCCTTGCGGAAAGAGTGGGTGCCGAGGTGTCTGTTGTCGAGCCCAGCCTTGGCGAAGGCTTCGAGGCACCAGTTTCGGATGGTTGTGTAAGACGGAGCGCTGTCTTGAGGGGTTGCCCTGCCGCTGGTGCCAAAGACACGGATCAATGGTCCATGCGGGGTGGTGGGGTGTCCCGCAAGTTGCAGAAACCGTT